AAAATATCTCTTTTTTTTTTAGGATATAATATTAGTTGTAGATACTTGTAGTAAATGTAGTTGCAGTGATAAGCTACAATATTATTAGGTTTACAAATGCTTATTGTTCTCACAAGGTAGTAACTTAGGCTGAAATGTTTAACATAACAACTCTAGATGAAATACATAGTGGAACAGTTTTGGTTCACTATTTGGCAAGAAACTGCTCAGTTTTGTCTCTCTGTCACCCTTAATTAACGCATAATAAGGAGTTGTTAATGATTTATAAAGTGTTTAAAGAGGACTTAATCAGGTATCTATAATCTATTTATTAGCCATCTATAAGAGGAGCTTGGGGAGCCTCATTGTAAAGTGGTACCCCATTTTTGTATTGCTACAGCCACGTAGTTGTACACGTTGACCCAATAATTACTTTCTGAGAGTTCATTTAAATCAGCCCACTGGTTCATGAGACAGTTTATATAAAAATGGCAATAAAAATGGGCAGTTTAACACCAAAGAACATTTGTGTGCAATAACGAAGCTTCTAATGTTCCACCCCGCAGTTTCTCTTTCTTTTTAAAACACACATTTGCACATACTGTATCTTTCCTGCTGTCAGACTCACGTCATTGTAGCTGCTGTGAGCTCAGTGAGACGTGCACACAAACACACAGTGGGGGCCAAACACACGCCCAACAAACACACGTGTGTGATGCGGGGGACATGTCACACGTGTGGGAGAGGAAGGGGAAGAAGAAGAGATGTGAGGAGGCCGTGTCTCAGAGGAAATAAATGTGAGAAGTAAGAAAGGAGTGCAGTGAGCTGGAAGTGGCCTACTGACTGGTTTAGGTAGGGTCAGGAGGAAAACGGGTTTTATGTGTCAGATGTTCATCTGTATAACTTCAAGGGAGGGTCAGTGGTTAACATCCTGTACTGTTTTATTTACCACAAACTGTTGTTCTAAACTGTTGCTTACTCACCTCATGTGTGTCCCCAACATCTCTATAAGGTGTCCATGGTGATGTGATGTTCTGTCATCTTCTCTTATTCGCCCTGAATCAGGTAAGACATGTAATTACTACGTGCATGCCTCTCTATACATTAAATGTAAATAAGTATATATTACAGAATTTAAGAAAACATAAATATCCACTTAAAGTTTTATTAGACGTGTTATGTAATAGAGAAGAGGAACTAATACAGCTCAAAATCTCAAGCAAAACAAATCTGATCAAATTTTGTTTACCTGAAAGTTGGAATAAAGTGTCTAATTCAAATTTCATATTATTTTAAACTACATTTTAAATTTAAATATTACCATATAACAACATATAATTGTTCAACTTGTAAACTAGCTACTAACTGTTGTTTATTTGTTTGTCTTTCTTGTTGTTGTTTATTAGAATGCATTCATTTGTAAATTTAGTCCAAAACTCACTTAATCATAACTGAAACAAATGTTTGCATATAAGGATATGTTCAACATTTTACTGAAACTCTGAGTGGACAAATATAAAAATATAAGACTGATTTGTCATAGTGTGATAACAGTAAATATTTTGCAGTTTTTGTCAACTACAGTCCATAATGTCTTTAAAAGATCAATAGAATTAGAAGAAAAACCGAAGACAAGGCTGAAAACTAACAAATGAGCTATTTGTGTTTTTCATTGCAACCACAACAAATATCTACAACATACGTGAAAAAAGTCCAATATTAAATAATCTAAATCTCTAAATTCGGCCTTCTCTCCAGCCCTGTTACATTTAAGTTTGGAGTAAGCCAAAGTGAGAAAATTCTTATCTGATCAACTCCATTTGATTTAATTGTCCAGTAAAGATGCTGCATCCTGTGAGCTGAAGATGAGAGGGACCGTACTGCTATTGATCCATCCACACAGTTGACCAGTCAGCAGCAGTAATTATATGGGTGTTCAATAGTGCTTATGGCATCTATACCATGCACACTGGTGAATAAAACATACTTTAAACCCTCCTGCTGCCCTTGGG